ACACTGGCTTATGATACTTTAATGTATTATATAATATCTATTACCATCAACTGAGATTGAGACTGAAATTCCTTTGAATGGCTAAACACGGCATGAAAGAAAATGAGAAATGAAAGGGAAGATCAAGAAACAATGGCACACAAACACTAGGAGTACCCTGGGACTACACACCATTCCATCTTCTGTAACACTAGAATGTAAATCCTATATATATTCACCCTTGCTAAGGATCTGTAACTATTACTACTTGTGCAATAGCTCTGGCTTCTATCATTTCACTGCTGTGGGACAAGATGGGTATGTCACTTTTTCTGTGTAAACATATCTGCATACATAGAGATGATAGAGGTCACTGGCAGACAGCTGGCTTTACAACTACAAAGCTACTGGCTTAAGGGGACCGTCCCTGGCGGTGGGGGTTGAGTCGGAGTGGTCGAAAATGAGTTATGGTCAGTTTCATATTCGTATATGAGAGTAGAATTACCCACGTGAATGTGAACTTCCGCGGCGAAAAATTTGGGCAGCGTGCGAGGCCAGAAACCCAAGTCCCATTGCCGCTGTGTCAGTGATTTTCACCCTTCCGTACTCTCGCTGTACAGGAGCGAAAATGATGCATTGTATAATGACATTACCTATTGAAATGGATCACAGGAAGATAAGTGTCTAAAATAAAAAAATTATGTGACTTTTCAAATTTCTTTCCCATAAAGTATAGTAGACACAATTCAATATTGACAAATTCATCATAAAAGTATGTTTAAGGTTCGGCGATAATACACGAGTTACAACTTACAGTTACAAGTCTATATCTCCAAAAATAAACTTGCAACGAATAGATATTCACACGGACTGTGAGCTCGTCTGCGTCCAAGGCCGTCTCGCAGGGACCCACGCAACAAAGTTCCAAGCGTCGGCACCACTTTAGACTTTTCTGATTGCAATAGTTTTACATATGCACTTTCATTTGAAACTAATTAATCAATTAAACATCATTATGTCATAAATCCATTTACAAGAAAAAATAAATGTAAAGAAAGAGTATGATATAATTCATTCATGTAAACTCGTAAAATCGGCCTATAAATATCTGATACCTATTGTTACATCACAAGAAGCATCCACGATAAACAAATATAAGAGATCTGATATAAGAGATTTGTCTTTCAAAATATTTTTGATCTATCAACGTTTTCTGAGCAGTTATTTGTAATGAACACTAAACAATTCCTTGTCCCTCCATAACAATTACTCCGCTGGTGACTAAACGTTTATCGCTTGTTTCGAGGTGGAATCACGCGGTTATGCGATGTGGAATAAGAGTAGACTGAAATAAAAATAAAATAAATAACTAATAAATAATTATGTATCTAATAAATATATGTGCACATACGCATATACACGTGCACGACCATGTACCTTTACGATAACTTACATGCGTATCACATGTAAATGAATATATACACAAGATAACAGTAATAAAAGAAGTATAAAACACGACAGGTCTGGATTTGCTCCTTTTCACGGGAGGCATTTATATGTTTGTTACTATAACTTAGAGACTAATGATCATATCTTTACCTAACATAGTGCGTTTGAAAGAGGAATAAAAGTAGTTTCTACAGTAATGAAATGGTAAAGATCCATAAATGAAAAAATATAGAAAATGATCTTCAAATCTCCAATTTTTTGTTTGTTTGTTTTTCAATGTTTCTTTTTTGAGCTTCAGTAGATTCCTTATCCCAGAGTTTTTATCCGATCAAAATTTTGGATATATCTTTGGAAACCTTGTGGAAATGTGCAGACAACTACGTCACAATTTTATTGAATTGTTGCTTACTTTTTTATATGAATTTTTGAAAAGACTAAAAATTATTATTATTATAAAAAGAAAGAAAGAAAAAAAAAAAAATCAGAAGAAACTGAGTTTTTTTTGCGAGGGACAGCACCCCCCACGTAGGAACCCCCATAAATTTGGTATCAAAAGATGTGGAATATAAAAATACATAAAATATCCAAAAATCAAGAAAATCCATAAGACCTTTTATTTTTTAGAAATATTTACCAATATGACTCCCCCACCCCCATAATTGGCCACACCCCTTTTGGGGACGGTCCCCTTAAACTCGGTCAACTCAGCAGGAAGTGAGTTTGGCAACAGCTGCCAAGAAAGAAAACATGCTTTTTAATGGACCCCTCCTTCTATTTCCACTAAGCTATCAAACCAACTCTGCCTTATGAAATAATAAATGTGTGTGCAATGCAATGAAGACCTGAGTAACTGCTGCATTGGTTCCCGGGTATCAAGAAAATATTAACAAGTATACGGGGTCAACGCACCCATATTTCAAAGGAAGCCATATACTTTCACTCTATATGGTGTATCTAACAACATGAAAGTAAAAAAATTTAATGGATTCCCATCATGTGTCTATAATAAGCATCTAAATATCTTACTGCAACTAAATTTTTCTTTCTAAGTCCCTCACAACATTTACAGTCCACTATGAAGTCCTACACTGGAATACTACAACTAGTAGGGGATAGGCTTAAAGTTTATATGATGATCATTGTGGTAGTTTGCGTGTTTAGGATAGAGTTAGTTAATTCATTTGTTCAAGTTAGCAATCTATTTTCAGGTAGGTGCATCCAATTACAAAGCTTTACTGAAGATAAACAATCCTCCTGCCCAAATATTTGTGGAGAACATAAGAACATCAGAATAATATTTACTATATCTAACATGAGAAATTACAAATATTGTCACTGACAGTCACATTCTAACCCCAAAAGATTATCAAATATCAATAACATTTTGGACCTCTTGTCATCATTCAATAGTCATATGCACCAACCAGTACCTGTATACATTAAAATAATGAACTTGAGAAAATCTTGTGTTGACTTTTAGTATTGTTTTAATAATGTCTATGCATATTAGATGGTTCTGCCAGTGCTTAGCCACAAGTCACCTGATTTCACCTTTCCTTGATTTTGTACTAAAAGTTTTTTTTCTCTAACTAGTGCAATCAATAATGTCTATGCATATTAGATGGTTCTGCTAGTGCTTAGCCACAAGTATTGCTATTGTTATTATTATCAGAAACATCATAATTACTATACTGTCATTGACACTTCTAAGAGCAGTATTAAATACCAGAAAATATTGAAAATCAAGGAAAAGGCTAAATAA